AATTTTTCCATTTTTGATATCACACTTCGCTGTTTTTCTAATTTATTTTATTGAACACAAAATACTTACAGCTCTAATAAGCTTTTTCTTTCAAATCGCAAATACAAATTGTTAACAGAAGTCTTTTTTCGAGAAGAAGGAATTGATTTTAAACAATTCAAGCAAAATTATTACAAAAAGCTTCAAAATTCAGCAATTTGAAATTTTGACTAGCCAAAATCAGTAATTTTTAACATACTACTAAATGCTTTGATTAATAAATTTTGCAGCTTGATATCACTATGACAAATATAAATCTGTTTGAAGTACGCATTTAATGTAACTTTCTGTTAACACTTATGTAAATTCAGTGATATCAAAAACAATCAGATCAGCTCAATAGTTTTCAAGCAGATGCTGTTAATAAATATATGCAGAAGATACCAACGAATTTGCATAAGTGTATTAATAAAGTACTTTTGTCAGGAAAACTGAGCCATAAAGCACAGTGGAGAATATAATTCAATCTTAATATGACTGGTAGGAACACTTTCATTTGAATGAAGAAATGATGCTTGATTTAAACTGAAATATTGCTCTAGTCAAATTTGTTGTGAAAATTATACTCATCACCAGAATAATACTTTCCAGAGCATGCAGCATTTGGATAATATATTTATGATCTAGATGAATCAAACACAGCAACATCTTCAATTCAAGATTCACAGATTTTTCTTCCACCACTTTTCAAACTATTTCATTCCATGCGTACTAGAGATTCCCGATGAATGCAACTTCAAGTTTGTACTTGCAGTTTGTTACCAATTTAAGAAAATTTGAGCTTGCAACTGGTTCGAGCTGTCAGCTTTCGAACCACCCCACTTATACAGAATCACAGAATAATCAGTCATAAAGAACTGTCGCAATTTTATAGAACTCATTTTATTTATCTTGCTAGAAACTGCTTACTTTTTCAGAACCAATCCTACACTAATGAACTTTAATAACGAACGTTTTTTTTCTAAAATGCCTGTAACACATTGCTATGACTATCACAACATGAGCCAAACCTACAGTACAACTTCATAGAAAGCATCAAATTTAATATTATTGGTGTGGTTGGTAACATAAATAAAACTTGTCTATGCAAAAGTTGAAACCTTTATATACAACAAAATTTTCTTCTAATCAAAAGAGATCAATGAAAACAAGCAACAAAGACGTACATGATGAACTTTAGCTAGGATACGATAAGACACAACAATATGTAGGATGAAAAACTTATTAATACCGCATCTGAAACATGAAACGTCACACAAAAATATAAAAACTTAAAATATTCAAAATAAATCATTAAAAATCTCATATAGACATAAACATGTAATAATCAAGTTGCAACGTTCTACGCTATAATGTTTTTACAACACAACAGAAAAAAATGTTCATTATGCACTCATATAGAATACATAAACTTCAATCGCTCCTTTGTATGTAAAGTAATATAAGGTACAAAAAAAATTTTTAAAAAATGACTGGTAAGGAAATATACAAAGAAGCCACTGAGGTTTATTTATTCATTGTGATAAAAAGTGATACACAAAAAGGGATACAACAACTATAAGACACAGAAAATCATAATCAGGAAAAAGCATATGATAAACACGACACCAATCAAAATGGAGCAAATTATAATAAATCATATCTAGAATTAATGTATACGTGATGCACTTAGTTTGAGAAATTAAAAGAGAAATTCTTCAACGATACAAAAAATTTTGCAGAATGACTCCTAATAAAATTTACAAGACATCAGAAAAACTTTGAAATGTCATGATAACAGGTATAAAAATATGATATGCAAAGAGAGCAAGAAATGAGAGGTCAGAAAATATTCAGAATATAAGAAATACATCATAGCACAAATAAGTGCTTCATATAAAAAATTTTTCTGATTTTACAAAATTTTTTTATACAATTAATTATTTGAAACAAATAAACGCAGCTATTAACCATGTGTTTGATTATCCTCAACGAAGTCAAATGCCTGCTCTTTGCTAACAGCATCTATGTGAGAAACCTACGAAGGACTTGTAAGTTATTTTAAATTTAACTAATCAGAGGGACAAAGAAGAATGTTATAATATTTAGATACATAAGAACTGATTAAAAGACTTCAAAAGACCTTTTCGTTGCATTATTTCAACATAAAACTACCAACCTTATTTCGGAATCGAACGCCGAAATATTTTTCTGCACTAGCTAACAATTCTGGACGAAAAGTAGTAGTGATGAATTGAGCAGTTTCAGACAATTCATGAATCATATCTGCAACAAGAGAAAGGAACCAATAAAATTTTCAAACTTTGTTGTTCAAAATATTATTTACGACTCGATGTCTTTAATATACTCGAAAACTGCAAGCTGCACTTATAACAAATTATGCGATAAAAGTACTGATGAAGTAAATTTTTGCACTCTATTATCTACTACTGCACTGAGTAAAGAGAGAACATAAACACGCACCAGCAACTGCTTTCCGGTGCTGCGAATCTAATGCAGCATCGATTTCGTCAAATAGATAAAACGGTGCGGGATCACATTTTTGAATAGCAAATATAAGAGCGAGCGCAACTAAACTTTTTTGTCCTCCTGAAAGCTGCTGCATTTCACGAGTTTCGGTAGTACCAGCAAATGAAACCTGAAATTAATTTTCAAAACCACTCATGTAACAAACCAATAATGAAATGGATGCAATTAATTTGAAAGCATACTCGAATTCCAATGCCTGTAAAGGTTTCTACTTTAGGCAAATCACACTCATCACGCTTTCGTTGTACGTCTTCATCCTGCAATACTCAAAATACTTTTTCTCCAATACAAAATTTAGCACCTGAGTTTAAGACACTGACTTACATGACTGACTCGCATTACCAAATTTCCATAACCACCAGGGACAAGTCTTTCAAAAACAGATTGAAAGTTTTTCGAGACTTGTTTGAACGTCAATTGAATGGCTTCAAATTTTCGCTGGTCGAGAACAAAAAGCAAATCATTAATTGCCTGCAAATGTAAGAAATGCAAATTTGAACGTCCAACTCAATGGCTTCAATTTTTCGATGACAAAAAGGAAAGCAAAAAGAGTTTTAGTTATATTTATCAACAACATTTGGATCTCTGAAAGAATAAAACATTATTTATCAGTATAGAAAGGAAAATGTACCTTTTGGTTTGCTATATGTTCATTTCTACGTTTCATTAGATCCTCTTTTTGACTGCTTGCGTGAACAAACTGATCCAATGCTTTTTTATTTACATTCTCATACTTTTTTAATTGTTCTAGAGCTTCGCTTAACTTTTTGTCCAACTGCTTCAAAGAGTAACTTTCATAGTTCTTCGAGTCCATTGGTAATGAACCGAGTTCTCGAATCTACAAAGCTATTTTAAAATATGTGCATGTCTTAATGAGGCTTTAAAGTGTCAAATTCACCCAAAAATGAAATTAAGAAAACATAGAACAACCAACCTTTTTAGTTATTTCTTCTCGTTTTGTTTGCATTGCTGATTGTTTTGTGCAGATTAAATCGACCTGCTTCGAAAAATCTGCTACTTGAGTTTCCAAATCTTTTTGCTGTTCTTGGCAATCTTCTAACTCACGCGTCAATTTTTCGTCATTTACTTCGAATTCCCCCAAATGCTCTTCCAACTCTAAAAAATTCCAATTAAAAAAAGAAAGAATTTGATATACCAAAAACAAGACCTAAAACTTGCCGGAAAGTCGGGTAATAATTTCAGAAAGTCGGTTATTCACAGATTTTAATTCTGCCATTTCTGATTGAAGATGATTACGCTTTTCATCAACTGATATATCATGAATCTTCTAAAAAATCATAAATAAATTAATCAGAACCATAATTTCAATGCAGGTAATTTCTGTGCCAAGCTTAATAAACATCTTGGTTTGTATACACTAAAAATTACAAATTCAAATGATTACCGACTGCAAGCTCTCTCTCTTTCGATGAAGGTTCGTTGTCAACTGGTTCTCCAATTTTAATTTAGTGGATTCTATTTCAACTCTTGATCGGTTTACGGAATCCAAACGTATTTTCTTTTCTTTTATATCCTCCTGAACAAAATATATTTTACATGAACAAGAAAACATAACGAAATCTATCATATTAGTCCATCATTTCTACTATTATCGATATGGCCAATCATAACTGTTACCTGCATCTGGTCAAGCATGTTTTTTTCGTCTTCACTTAACTGTGAAAGCAAAGGTGTACCAAGCTGACGCTGAAGACTTTCTTTTGTTGCGTCCAATTCCCGAATTCGATTTTTCAGATACAAGCACTGACCAATCTACAAGTATGCCTTTTTTACAAAATGGAATTAAATTTCCGACAAACAACAAAAAAAAGCCACAATAATGTAACAATAAATACCTTCGGTTCTTTATTCTTCGTACTTTGTTGCAATTGTTGTGACAAGTAACGTTTCTTTTCAGATGCAGCTCTGTGCTTATCCCTTAAATGATATGTGTAAGAGTAAGACGAGAAAATCGATTATATACATTTTAAAAAGACAAAAAACAAAAAACCTCACACTATGTATCATTAAAACACATAGACATACTTTAGGTACAAGATTTCACGTTCCAGAGAATCAACTTCTATACGTAATTTCTCTACATTTGAAGCTTTTTCGTTACTGATTCGAACTGCTTTTTCCAAAACGTTCTGAAAAATTTGTCACATTGCGAATAACGTACTATAATTTTTTGGTATTTTTTATGATGATATTAAAAAACCTCAAAATGAGCTTTTTGAGCATGCATTTGTTGCACAGTACTGTAAAGTTCAAGGCGTGAACGTTTCACATCAAGGAATCCGCCAGTCATTTCTCCTCGTCGACTTACTTGGTCACCTACAACAGATCAATGGAAGAGTAATTTCTGGAAAGTGCAAAAAATAACAGAAGAGCTTTTTGTAGAAATTCAGATAATTTTTGGAGAATAAATTATATACCTTCAAAAGTGACACAATCAAAACCTTCTCGCTTTGCTAAGCGATTACCCGCTAACATACTACGTACTATAGCCACGTTTCCAAAAATATGACGAAAAACAACGTCATATATTGGCTCAAATTCTATCCCATCGATTAAGAGTCTTGCTTCCTAAAATTGAACAATATATTTTGCAAAAAAAAAAGGAAGCACCAGCTTCAGTTTTCGCACTAAAAACTTTTATTTAAAAAAACTGAAAATTCAAACCGGATCATTGATTTCTTTCCGTGGTTTTGCAATCAAACGATTCAATGGATAGAAATTTATTTCACCCAGCAGCTTTTGTTGATTTATCTGCAATCACAATTCTTTTTCACTGACACAGCACACGTAAAAAATAAAGTGGAAAAGAAAGAGTCGTTAACTTCAAGCTCTGATTAACATTTCCATTATCTCTAGAATGTCATAAATTAAACAAACCTGTATAGCCTGAAAGGTTCTTTCTATAGGTTTAAAAGAAAATTTTTCTCATATATTCAAAAAATTCAAATATATCTTTTTCTACTAAAAAACCTCTTTCATAATTTTCATCGCTATACGATCGTCATCAACCACATGATAAAATAAACGGTTGCCAGTGGTTACTTCGACAGCTTGATAATAAACCTTATCGCAGTTAAACAATTCAATTACAATACCTGCAGTGGCTACATTGAAAAATTACGTTCAACATTGAACTGCAGTTAAAATGTCAACTAAAATATACAAAATTTATATAAAAAGAAAAAACATTACCCCGATAACCATTTAGAATAATGTCAAATTGACCATTATGGTTCTGAGTACGGAAATAATCCAAAACGTGTCGTACACTATCTACTCCATTCATTACGGACTTAAAAGTAATTAACAATAAAAATTTAATTCCGCTTCAACATAAAATTACTTGCAATATTCTTTTGTCACGAAAAGTTGATTGTCAACATATATTTGAAAAAAAAAAAATCTCAGAAAAAAAAGGATACCATAAGTCGTGTTTATGTGTATTTTGTTTATCAAACAAAATAGTTCACCTTTGGAACAAGACGACGAATGTCTTGCTCAGCCTGTTGAACATCAACTTTAATGGTTTCCAAATTATCTCGAGATGTTTTTTCATCTCTTGTTGTTTCTCTACAAATAAATAATCTCGAACAATTATAAAATAAGTACAATTTCAGTTTCTTGTTCAATTAAAAAATCTTACTGGTGAGCGACACATGCTTCATCCAATCTACGCCGCAAATCAGCCATATTTTGATTCATTTTTGTCAATTTATCAATAAATTCTTCAGCTCCCAGACCAATCTCCTGAACATTTTCGATCACTTTACACTCAAAAATGAAATAAGATCCTATGAATGCCGATATCTCTACACTAGTTTTATTAGTTACCAAAATTTTTTGATGAAGTTGCTGTTCTTCTTGTTCTTCATCTTGCAGACTTTTTTCAATACCAGCAATCTGATCATGGATGTCTTGGAGCTGACGATCGTAAAAACGAATCTCCTTCTGCAGAATCTGAAGCGAATTCAATTTTAGATTTTAAAAGACCTATTCTCAAAATGATTATTTTGCTGAATAATGAAATTTAGAAAATATATACCTAATTCGAGAATTGTTTTTAATTAATCAACACAGATAAATTGGACTTGTTATTAAAATATATGGTAGTATACCTTATCACGTTCTTCAACAGTCTTATATTGATCTCTATATCCCTGCTTGGCATAAAGTTCTTTACAACGCTGTTCCGCAATACGAATACTGAAATGCTTAGAAGACAGAAAAGTAAAGCCAACCTATTAGAAATCTCAGCAAGACTTGAATTTAAGATACTTACTCAGTGTTTAATCGTGCCGCTTCTTCAACCAAAGACTTATATTTAGGAGTTATTATACTAAGTTCTTCTTCCTTCGCAGCTATATCTGTTTTGAGCTTATTTAACACATCTTCTGCTTTATCCTGATATTAAGAAAATGCAGGTTTTTTTTTTTTATTTTTTAGAAGCATTGCCCGAAAAGCAATTTTAATTTTTAAAAATTTAGAGTGCGAATGCCCAATTATTAAGATTGAATCCCTTTCTCGAGAAAGTTAAAGAGTATCCAAATAATGCAGCAGAATATATGGAACACTTAAAATCTCATTCAAGAATTGAAATTTTGGTAACTACACCGATCACTATATTTCCTTATAATTATAAATGACATACTCTTCCAAAGCGTTCTTTTTCAACATCCTCCCGTAAATCGTTAATTAAAAGTTCCAATTCAGTCTTTCGTTGCACACGCTCCGTCTGTTCAGTCACTAGTGCTTCCTTTTCTTCCCGCATGCCTTTGAAGCGCGCTTCTAGTTTCCGCTGTTCAGCAGTGGCTTGTAAAGCACGATTTTGAGCGTTCAACAAATCATTTGTGACCTAGAAAAATAGAATATAAATATACAATTAAATAAAGTATCAAACTTCTTCTACACCGTTAAAGACTGTTATAAGCAGTGAAAAAAATTACCTTGCTTTGTCGTGTATTCATTTCTTCGCGTTGCTCCGCTAATTTATCTAATTTTTTTCGCGCCTCTTTTAATTCATTATCATAAATCATAAACTCAACTGATCTATAAAAATTTCGTCTTACAATTTTTAAGTTTGAAAATTACTATATGAGTAAAAAAACTGTGAAAGTGCGCACAAAAAAATTTTCAAAAACAAAAACCTTTTCATTCGATCCCATTTTTGGTATTCCTTCAAATCTTCTTTTTCCTCTTCCAAAGTTTTCAGTCTCTCTTCCATAAAACTTAATAAAGTTTCAATTTTTTCACTTTTAGCACCTGTAAACAATTTCTCCTTGCAATAAATTAACATTGAAACAAGAACACAATATTTCTAAAATATTTTTAACTTACTCGTATCTCTCAATATCTTTAAGCTTTCTTCTTTTCTTTCATCGTATACTCGAGTTCCTGCAACCTGAAATAATCTTCCATGAGTTTTGAAATCGACAATTTGTTGATTACTTTACTAATAAAATAAGAATCGCCCACTTCTCTCAATAATTTCAGTCGATGTGAATCGGGTGATGTTGCTAATTCGTTAATTTTTCCCTGCTTCACAATATAATACGGATTTGACCGAGAAAATCCTGCTGATTCCATCAAATTCACAACCTAATAACAGATTTGAATAAAAATTTTTACAAAAATATTGAGAACTAAAAATACTAAAACTAAATTTTGCTGACTTACATCGCTGCGTGTAACTAATTTTGAATCAATAAAAAACTGATCTTTCTTCATGCTAACACGTCGTAAGACACGCACTTCAATCCCTTCAACCTAGAAATTTTAAAAAAACTGAGAACTGAATGTATTCATAGATTATAAACATTACAAAAACAAATCAAACAGTTCTTAGAGTAAAAAAAATTTTTAATCTCAATAAAATAAAAATTAGTTATTTACAAAAATGACAAACCGCAAGAAGGCGATGATCAGAATTATCGAAAACAATTTCGACACTGGCTGTTGTAACACGATCCCCTGTACCCTCGTGAATTAAAGCTTGTCTTTGTTCTGCTTTAAGATGGCTGAATTCATCCGAAAGTACAAACTGTATGGCTGAAATGGGTTTTACAACACACAAATTATGATATAATTATTAAAAATTGGAATCAATGAACTAAAGACAAAAACCCGGCAACCAAATTATATAATTTGTATGAAAATAGAAAATGAATATGTATATACTATCTAACAAACAGTTAAAGGCGACAATTGATAATAGTGACAATATTGGTGACGAATAAAAGAACAGAGATTTCAAACCAATGTTCAGTCAATACAGCTTGCTGATAAATGATTAGAAACGGTAACATTACTTACCAAAAAAAAAGTTGCTTTTTCCACTACCATTCCGGCCAACAACGACGTTATGACGAGATGAAAAGTCGTTCACTGTGGTATCACGATAACTACGAAAACCAATTATGTTAACCTAGAAGTGAAAAAATTTGTTCTCAAAAATAAGCAAGCAAATTTAATTTTTAAATAAAAATATGCGATAAATCTAAAAAATTTGAATAAAAAACATCAGTATTTCATGGAAAATGATGATTAGTACTGAAGAAATACTAACTAGAAATACTTAATATTACTGAAGAAATACTTACCTCTTTGATAAACATTTTTAGTAAGTGAGTAGAAGGTTAGTCAGTGAAAGTAAGTAGTTTGTTAAGGGATTAGTAACTAACTAGAACAAGTAAATAAATTAATAAACCTGAAAACAATAAATGTGTCACAATGATTCAAATGATTTCTATTCAGCAAATACAATTCATTCAAATATACAGCATTAAAAAAAGGTAAAACGCTTTTGAATTAAGTAAATATCTCTCAACTTGTCAACAAAATTTGAAAATTTGCTTTTGCTGAGACGACAGGCAAGTTTGTAAGTTGCGAAAGTTGAAAAACTAGGAGAGATGAGAAAAAGGCAGAATAAATAAGAGGGAGGGAGGCGAGATAATAAGAAGGTTTGTTCACGGAAAACACGCAATTCCGAGAAATAATTTCGGGACAGAAAAGACTTGTAAAGCATCGTGAAATGTGCTTGTGACTTTGGAGTAGGTGTTCAGGAACTTCAACAGCGACAAAGTATGAGTAATTGATTTTTAGGAAATGTGGGTAAGGGGAAAGACGAAGTATTGTTTGGAGAGGTCGTGGACAATTAGAGGAAGAGGGGTGATTATAGAGTGCAGTCAAGAGGAGGGATGCATGATTGCGGGGAAAAACTATTCTGCAATTTGTGGGCGACCTTTGACATACAGAATTTATTAATAAAGAAAGGATATATGTGATTAAAAAGATGAGAGTTGCGACAAATCTAACAAGTTTTGCGCATTTCTGGTATTTACTCTGGAAACATTTTGTGTGTGTTGTAGTTTCCACTGCTTATAAATTTAAAATCGTCAAATTCAAAATATTCATTATCAGGTACTGCAAATATGGTGGTCAACGTTTGATTCACTTCAAGTTTTATTTTATTTAGAAAATTTGTGACTATGTCAGTTATTCAGAAATTTGTGACTTAGGATGGGTATATACTTGGTCAAAGAATTCAAAATTCAGGTGCGATAAATATGATGCTTGATAATGCAGTAACCGAGACTATTGACAAAACTAAGAAACGGGCTTGAATTCAGATTTTTGCAAATTAATTTTTGCTGACAAAATATTATGTTAAAATAATGTTCTACAGTATATTTTGCCTGCTGCATTTGAGTTAATATGAATGATTTACTATTAACAACAAAGTATTTATGCATCAAAAAGCGTAAAACAATAGCAAATAATCTGTAATCGTTTTATTATTTATGCTCTAACTGACTGTTTTCATTAGTCGTTAGAGGTAAGAGTTCAGCTTTGAATGAAGAGGAATGATTTTGCAAGATTTGATCTTACAAATATTCTTTCGAAAAAGTTTTGCAGCAATAAATCTCTCTAAGGTTCCTTCGTTCATTTGGATAAAGATATTTCCAATGATTTGAAAGAAAATAAGCAGTTGACTGCACTGCAAACTAACGCAAATGTTCGTTTTTAGCATTAAATATTGCTCTCAATTGCAGCAGTTTTGTGTACGGTTTACTGGTGCAATGAGTGACTGATCGATCAAATGATTGATCGAATTTATGATATAAACAGAAGTTAAATTGAGTGTATTCAGTAATCGGCCAAAGTTGATGAGTTCAAAGTGCCACAAGACCACTTCAGTTTATGGAGTTTTATTGCATAAAATGGCAATTCAAGTTAGACGTGTTGTATATTCAGAGCAGCAGGTGCGTGTGTGCATTTCAAATTATACGTATCTAAACAATTTCTTCTTCCTGGCAGTTACTTTTGTTCATTTGTTGATCAGCAATGACACCTTTTCTGATACATAAGATAAGTGATATTGCAATAGCAGATATCCAAGTTAATTTCATATTTGTGCTTTAATTCTCTCAGTAAATGACTGCTATTAATTTTAAATAATTATGACTATTATTAGCTTCTACATGGAGCATTAGCCTATAAAACTACTCAACAATATGAATTTATTATGGAAAAATATAAATAATGAATTAGAATCTCTGCTATTTAAAAACTTTTGCTAATTGTTTGCAAGTAATGAAAAATTTGGAGGACAATTTAAATATATGAAAAGTGAAACTTACTCAGAAGTAAATATACTGCTTTATAGCTATTGTTAGGAAGGAAATCCTTGGAGGTTTTCCCAATATTACGTATATTCACTTTATTTCTCCGAGGGATCATTGCTTATTCTTATTTATTTCACAGTTTTCATTCACTTTTTATTTTTCATTTAGCTTCAATGTATTTTATCTGCTTTGTTCAGTCTAGTTTAGCTTAGATTTTTTTATTTTGCAAGTTTACTCTTTCTATTTGCGTAGATATATTGCACCATTGATGCGAATGGTGGCTATAAACTGCAGCCAATAGCATCTATCCGAGTTGATAGCAAATTGCAAAATTGAATTTGATACCATTCAAAAATTGTGTGAAAAGATAATTTGAAGTTCTATGGCCTTTCTTTTCAGTATTGCATACTTCAGAGACGTATGATTTGTGACCTTACGTAAGAGAGTTTAAAAATGCATAGCCTGATCCATGTACTAAGCTAAATTTAAACTAGTTAAACAAATTTATATTATTGCAAATTACAATATCGATTTTGTTGAAGATTCGTTGCATCTTTGCATATTTGTTCAATACTTGGAACTACCAACGCACAATTTTCTCTCAATAATTAAATTATACGATTACAAATTGTGCGAAGATTATAAATTCTTTCTGGCATACATCAGAATTATTACTTATTATTTAGAGTAGCATATTTACACAAATCAAATATTTAAAAAGGCAGTAAAGGTTTCGATTCAATTATAGAAAAGAGTTTTATTTATTGCAGAATTTGAAGGACAAAGTATTCATTGCAGTTAGCTTTTTTCAACCTTTTGGCTACTGCAATGGAATGAATGATTATTTTAGTTGAAACTTCGCGATGTGCAATCTGTTAGCATCGCCGATGACAATTTTTGCTCTGATAATCCAACTACTGAAACTAAATGGGGCATCATATATGGTAAGCTTCGCAGTTGCTACTGCAAAACGCTTTGAGCAACATAAAATTTGAGTTTTGCAATAAAAATGCTAAAATTAAGACCACATTTGCTGCGAAATTCAAATCTGAAAATGTTTATTTTCAATGATTTCAAAGAAACAGTGAAAATCAAATTATTATTTGCAAGAAAAAAATAGATTGTTTTTTCTAATGTGAATACCGTCTAGAGTTTATTACTTGTATCATTAATTATTATTCATTGACCTTCGCCTGTTTTATGCAAAATTTGTCTTATAACAGTGCATAAATAATTTGCAGCACAATGGGAAATTAAAAAGAAAAGAAATACGTGAATTATCTGACGTAACACTGTCAGTGCTTCAAGCAGAATTCAATGATATTCAAAAAGAGCTCGCAAGTAATAGTACTTTGTTTGATGCTGTTGCGCTTGTAACGATGGAAGAAGAAAGGATCATTAAAAAGTATTTGTATTTCCATGATAGTTTGTCAATTTTATTGCAATTACAAGTTGAAAATAGCTTGCGGAAGCATTAGTTATTGAATTTGACTTATAGACTGCAGTTTCTGACAATTGTGTTTAGGTTGGTTCTGCATTCTTTCTATTTCTTCTTGCAGATTGAACAAAATTTGCAATCTTCCTACTGAAGGTTAGAACTTGCAATGAAAACAAAATGATGAAAAAAGAGTTTTTTTATTTGAATGTTTAAAGTTACAGATTTCAAAAGAAGATTAAAGGAGATTTGCCTTTTTGGGATTACCAAATGGATATTCGGCTGAAAAATCCAAAAGAATCATCAATATTGCTGATGAAATTTTGTCAAGATGGATCTGGAAAAGTGACGATCAATAATAGTAGCAGTTTAAATTCTCTTGATGGTAAATTCAATACATCTAATGCAATTCTGAAGCAACTCAACGAAATTGAGCACAACTGCAAAAATGGAGCTTTATTAACACTTCTGAAAACTTTCGTTGCTAACCACAGTAAATTTTTGATATGAAAACATTTTGAAAATGAAATAAAAAATGCTGATCTATTCTGTTTTCTTCTTGTCAAATACTAACAGTTTGATCTAGTTTCAAATTCCATCTAATAAGTATTGTATTTTATTTATTCTAGTTTAAATTGGCCAAAAATGATAGTGATAATAGTTATAATAATATAAACAATAGTTACTATTACTGCAATAATATTTGTATAGTAATTGCAATAAAGACTTGGGGTTTCATTCTAAAACGTGATTCAATTATACAATATTTATGTGCTCATCTTTTTCCAGAAGATGAATAGCTGAGATTAACATGAAAAATCTAATAATGTAAATTATAATTTGCTTCATATAATTAAGAAAACAGTAATCAGAACAAGCAAGAATTTTGACGAGCGAAGTCAAATTTCAGCAGTGGATGACCAATGTTCTCAGTGCCAGACTGAAAAAGCTCAAAAATGGCTTTTCTGTGATGAATCTCTCCGTCAATGCGTGAGTAAAATCGCACCCAACGGTAACTGTGAGAGGTTTTCAAACAATTCAGAATGTTGTTTCCAGTCAATATGTTTGCAAGGCCGTTGCAAGGCAGAAGATATGAAAATTGCTGCAGTCAGTGACGAAAAGCATGCCATCGTTGAGATAAATGATTCTAGCACAAGGAATTTGATAAATTCTGCAAAGTTCTCAGTTCAGAAACCTGAGTCAGCAAATTTTCTAAGTAACTATACTTTGTACGTGAATTCAAGCAATACCTTCACAAGTGTAGGAAGTGTTTCAGAAGGCATAACTTCTGATGCAGTAATAGTCGACAGTAGCATTCAGAGCTTAAAATCAGGAGGAAATCACACTAATTCCCACGGAAGCCATACTTTGAAAGAAATTGAAAGAAAAACTGAAAAGGAAGAAAATTTTGAGACAAAGACAATACCTTTGATACCACCTGCGAAGCATTTCAATCTTAACAAGAAAAAAATAAGAAAAAAATTCCTTAATAGAAGGAAGGGCGAATTTGCACAGGTCATCAAGGTTACAGCGCAATATCCCCAGAACGTAAGCGTGATTCAAAGCAAAAATAGCACAGTTTTGAAAAAGAAATTCTCAAGGTTTGCTCTGTATCAAAAAAAACAAAGAAAAAAGAAAATACAAGATGATCTGTCGGAAGGCAGTGCTTCTTTGATTGGATATAACAGTTCACTTCCCAATAGCAATTATTCACACAGCTCTTTCCAAACCACACAGGAATTTGAAAGTAAGCTGAAATTTAGTGCAAAACGTAAAAAAATTTTGGGCAAGAAACAACGGAAAGCAATTGATGATAGTCTATTCCACCAAATCATGCTGCCAACTGCGAAGGTTACTACACTTGCTTCGCAATATGTATACTTCTCAATTACTGTTATCGAAGGTAATCTGAAGCGTTACAGTTCACTCAATCGAGCACCTGCAAACTGTAATATTATGCTTGTAGGAGCAAATATGCCTTACGGATTCACGGAAAAAATCAATGTAAGTCTTTCAGGTTGCTGCTTCTAATAATAAAAAAGTTTTCTAATCGCTTTCGACGACTTTTATTACTTTACAACAAAGTACACAAGAAAAAAGTTCTAACCTTATTTGAAATTTCTAAGAAAAAATTTCTTAAAAAAGACTGAAAAAAATATAATGCATTTTATAAACTAAGTCAGTAAAAAACTATTAAAATCGGAAAATTCGCGAAAATTGAAGGATTAAAAAATTAATTGCTGCCTAAAAAATTGCTACTTAAGTAATTTAAAATGTTTTACACATTCATTTTTTACGCAGTGAGAAACTTTCATAATGATTTTAACAACCTGTTTATCATTTTGAAACGACGTTTACTCTTAAATTGCTAAAAAGAATGAAGTAGTGCTTTTTACAAAACGAATATTAAAATGCAGTGAAAGAATGAGAAATGAACTGTCAATGTGTTAAATTGCTATTTGCAAAAGTGATCGTAAATTTTGTTGGTTACAGGGGCGACTGAGCCAACAATCAAGTACCTCAGCTGTTTTACGCACACTAAATCCAGATCTATTTGGACCACTGGTGGAATTCAATGTAACAGTAAATGGCACTAACGGACGGCCTTGTCAGCAGAAATGCATGAATAACAAGGGAATGTATGAAAGTTGCGAGCATCACACCATTCGATTATCAAGTCGTAAATTCAGCAAATTCTCAGATCCAATCAAATTTTATTCAGTAAATTTTTCCCATACCTTAGCAATACTTTCAAATTAGAGAAATATAACTTTTTAATCATTAAACAATTCGATCCAAGAATATCATTTGCAATTAAATGTACATCCAACTTGAATCTTACTTGTTTTGTATGAGAGGCTGATCGAAGTAATTTCATTTTACAAATTCTATTTCATACTTTTTACTTACTGATGACTAAACATAGCTGTGAACTTATATTATTAACTAAAAGCTAATTACTTTTCAAAACAAATTTTAGTTTTCAAGCACACTTTTATTTTTTATCCTTCAATAACTATAAAAAAAGTGTGTTAATGTTTTGCAGTCTCAAAAATCACTTTTGGAAAATCAGTGGACCGGAAGAGGTTATTATCGTAAGAAAAAGCGTGACTTTTTGCTATTCGTCTGTGACGAGTAAGTAAGCGAGAATTGTGCGATGGAACTATAAGTATTCAGTACACTATTTGGATTCTTAATTCACTCTAATATACAAATATAATACCTCAAAACATTGTTGGCTTTCAATTTTGAAAAATAAAATTTGTCTCTCTTCAGCCATAAAATAGCTCAGTGCAAACTTTTCACTTTCACAAATATTGGCATACCTGTGTGATTTAAGAAACTTGGAGATAAAGAAAATCTGTAAGCAACATTAAAGATTCTGAACATTTGTAAAAAAGGCCATAGAATCACAAAGTTTTGGAACTCAGCATTAAAATCATTCAAAAGATTGGATATAATGCTAGAAATTACCTAAATAAATGATAATGATAATGTAGTTAATATTAAAATCACTTTGACGTTTTGTTTTCAAAAATATAGCAAAAAAGATGACATTAGAAATTTGTCCTTACAAAACAAAAGGTGTTGAAAGCCACATAGTTCACTCTACATTTGGTATTTTGTAGTTCACTATTTGATTCTTACCTCGCACAAACAAATGATTACAAGTGTTATGCTTCAACACATTATCAGTTAATAGTAAGTATTGGAAGTGAACAGTAATAAGTATTTGTAAGTAATAGTAAGTGGTTGTAAGTAGTGGTAAGCAATAATAAGTAATGGCAAATAGTAGTAAGTAATGATTCAGCAGTAAGCAGTATTAAGTTTAAGTAGTAGAGTATAATACTGAGCGGTAGTAAGTAGCAGTAAGGGGTAAGTGGAGGCAAGTAGTAGTGAATAGATTAGTGGTAAGTGGTAGTAAGTAGGAATAGATAGTAGTGAGCAGGCAATACTAGGTCGTAGCAAGTAGTAGTAAGTGATGGTAGGTTGCTGTAAGCAGTGGTTAATAGTAGTAAATAGTACTGTAAGTAATAGCATATGGTAGTAAGCAAGTTATGGTGTAAATTGAGCACTAGCAGACTGTAAAAAATTGTAGGATATTGTAGTAAGTAGTAGTAGATAAGTAGTCATAAATGGTATAAATGGTGAAGTGAAGGTAAGTGGTAAGTGTCAGCAATCAATGTTTAGGTCGGAGAGGAGGTCAGCTGTAAAAATATTAGCAGTGAGCAATAATTCGTTTGCTGCTTGTAGGAATGAATAATGGTCAGTAAGATAATGGCAGCGTGAGAGTAGAAGGTAATCAAGTTGGTAGGTGATAAGAGAGCTGAGGTGGATATTGAGAAAGTAGTGACAGCGTTGGTGAGGAAGAGAAGTAATTTGTTACAAGAATTATTCACTTGAAAGGGTAAAATAGTCTTGAGTGACAGTGGTGTCTAGGTTAAAGGAAGCTGAAAGTAATTACACTTTTTTTAAATGCAAAGAAGTAAGTGACTGGAATTAAAAGCGGTTGAGGAATGGTAGGAAAATGAATTATGTTCGCAAGTAATACCATGTAAGAAAGGTAACTGCATTTATATTGATGTGCTTAGAAGACCGTCGTAATAAATATCTGGGCTGTAGTGAATATGTTGACAGGCGAATATGTTTTTTGATTATACTCAAACGCTTGAATAGCATCATTTTGTGCACAGATTATTTCCCAATTGATATGTATGTCGTCTGTAAACATTATTTGCATTGTTTTAATATTTATTAATTTGTAAGTTTTGAAATTTATGAGGCAAGTTTTGATCTGTCGAAGAGATATACAGAAAACACTTAGATGCTTGGTTATTTTTGTAACAGCTTAAAAATCATTACATTATTTGCAAAAAAAACTTTACCCTTTCAAGTGAATTCAATATTATTTTCTTGTATGAACTAAGTTATATTCTAAACTTTTACATTTTAATATTATTTTGATGATAAATAGTCAACTTTTACTGTTTAAAAAAATCGTATGCCTATACTCCTACACAGTCTTTAAAAATCAATTCGAACTCGAAAATTGTTGAAAAATTAAATTAAAACCGAAAATTGTACCCATGCATTTGTAAGAAAATTTGTGCTTACAAAATGTAATCAGCGCAAAATAATCGCAAATATATCAAATGCTGGAATATAATATGCTAGCAATCATTTTTAGCTATTATTAAAAGTAAATTAATCTCTGCTAGCCTTACTTGTTTGCAGTTTACACTGAACTGACCCATTCATTGCACTGAAACAGTGTTCACGCGTGGACCTGACGTACATGAAAGAGAAGCAAAGACAAATGTTATCAGTTGCAAAGAAGTGATAAGAGAGATCGAGACAGGAATGCTATACTTTACATCAAATAACAGCTGCCTATAATTTTTTAGCACTGCTAATTTCATATATTTGATCATTTAGACTGAGTAAATTGCAAAAATATTCAGAGGTTTTTGTGGAAATGAAAGTATGAAAGGAAAAAGGAATTCTAGAGTAAAGTTAACAAATGGATGCCTTTTTTATTCATAGAAATTTCAATAGAAATTCAGTTGTCAACTGGTAAACAGCTGAAACGTCGTGCTAAACAAATGCACTGCATTTCACGTAATGCATTTTCGCAAAACGCTTTTGACGTTGATAGCTACCTCAGACTAAGGAATAAATCAGATCGAGACAAAAACAGTGCATACAAAAATCAAAGTAATGAAAGTTAAACAATATTATTCAGTTGGTCAATGAAGGAACCAATGAAGGAATTAATTAATTTTATCTTTCGGTTGGTTTTCTTCGAGCACTTTTTTCTTGAATTTGGCCATCTGATAGCTCGCTAACTTGCGTATCATCAGAAAACCACTGATCACCTGAAAAATTTAAAATAAAAGAAGAAAATGATTAAAGTCGAAGGGTAATATATAATAAAAAGGACAATTTACATGAGGCATTTTTTTGAATTTATTCCCTTTTATATGGATGGGCCTTGATTGACTGGCATCATTAAATGTAAATAATAAAAAAAAAAAACGAATATTTTGGAGATTTACATTGAAGGGCAAATGTCACCTCGACTAAAAGAAAAATTGCATGATA